TTAACAAAGAATGAAACACGAATTTTGCTAGAATGAAACAAAGAGAAGAAAATCACCATGAAATGTTTCAACCAGTCAAAATTCAAAGGAGAGCATGCAATTTGAATGCCTGGCATAGTGGCGAGCCGATGAAAAGTGGTTTTTTGCTGGGTTTGTTCTTTCTCTTTCTTTCTTCCTCTCCTATCGTCCTCTACACGGGTGTGCACCATGGCCGTCGGGTACGTGTTGCCGCCTAAACGACTGATAAAATCTCGTGGTTTCGCTCAAGATGGTCGCTGATCGTTGCTGCATTCCCCCTCCAGCAAGAACAAGAAGCTTTCCAAGGGTGGCAAGAAGGGCCAGAAGAAGAAGATGTACGCCGCCACTCCGCATTCTTGCATCCCGGCCCTCGCATTTTGTTCGCATGTCTCATAAGGTCATGCTCTTGCAGCACCGATCCCTTCGCCCGTAAGGAGTGGTACAACATCAAGGCCCCCTCCGTGTTCCGCTCGCGCAACGTTGGCAAGACCCCCGTCAACAAGACCGCCGGCACCAGTACGGCATCCCTTCTCTCACCTGCGTTTTGTGTGACGGCTGGTCTCATTCTCGTGATCCACTTTGTAGAGCTGTCGCAGGACGCTCTTCTTGGCCGCATCGTCGAGGTCTCGCTCGCTGACCTGAACAAGGATGAGGACCAAGCCTTCCGTAACATCAAGCTCAGGATCGAGGATGTCCAGGGCAAGGATGTGCTCACCAACTTCCACGGCATGAACTTCACCACCGACAAGCTCCGCTCGCTCGTCAGGAAGTGGCAGTCGCTCATCGAGGCCCACGTGGACGTCAAGACCACCGACGGCTACTATCTGCGCATCTTCGCCATCGCCTTCACCAAGCGCAGGCCCAACCAGCAGAAGAGGACTTGCTATGCCCAGTCCGCTCAGATCCGTCAGATCCGCGCCAAGATGGTCCAGATCATCGTCCGCGAGTCTACCACTGTTGACCTGAAGGACCTCGTCGTCAAGTTGTACGTTGCCTCAGTTCCTTACGTCTCTCCTCTCTTCTCTTGTTCACACTATTTTTCCTGATGTACAGCATCCCTGAGGCCATCGGCAAGATGATCGAGAGGGAGTGCAATGGTATCTTCCCCCTGAAGGACGTCTACATCCGCAAGGTCAAGATGCTCAAGACCCCCAAGTTCGACGCTGCTAAGCTGGCTGAGCTCCACGCTGGTGGTCCCGCCGCCGCGGAGGACCTCGGCGCCAAGGTTGAGCGCACCGAGGAGGCTCCCAAGGAGGAATCTGCTTGAATATAAAAAACCCAAAACAATTAAATCCTCTCCCTTCCGCCCGTAACCCTCATCTCTATGCATCATCTGTTCCTGTCCTTTTGCAAACGATGCACAAGGCCGCGCAAAACATGGATTAACGATATAATTTTTTGTATTTTTACAAACAATAACAAATCAATTGTTTTTGTTTTTTGTGTATTCCAAGATGATGAGGAGAGGACTCACCCTGTTTGCCAGCGCCGGCGTGCGCACTGTCCCCACCTCTTCCTCCCGCCTTTTCCTCACTACCAGCCGGCTGGCTTCGTCCGATGCTGCTCCGTCTCCCGTTCCCAGGAAGAATGTGAAGGCCTCGACTGGAATTGCTGGTCTTGATGTGGTGCCTAATGCGCGCGAGGTGCTGATTGGCCTCTACAACAAGTACCTGGCCGAGCTGCAGGTCATTGAGCCCACCAGCCCCTACCGCAAATTGGTCGAGAACATGACCAGGGAGCGACTCAGGGTACCCCCGCCCCCACCGGCAATCCCTTTGTGCAAACAGTGTCTCCCCCCTCTTTCTCTTCTCATACTCTGCCTCGCCGCGCATTTTACGCTGCTAGATTGTGGAGGAGAATGAAGACATCGCGAAGATTGAGGAGCTCATTGATAACGGCCAAGTGGAAGAGCTCATCCAGGAGGCGATGGAAGATATCAAGGAAGTGCCCTGGTGGGCCGAGCACAAGCCCTGGTACGTCCCTCGGCCTCTCCTCTTCACTCCGTGTGTGCTGCTAGCTTCCGACGCTCACCTCTCACCTCTCCGCTCTCCGCTCTTTTCTTCTTCTTTTGCTTCCCTCACCCTAAACACTAACCCTTCTTCTTCTTCTTTGTATTCTATCCACGGCGTGCAGGGAGGATTCCCCGCACAAGCGCATCCCTGTCTTCGAGAGGGAGTTCTAAGCGCCTCTCCTGTAGGTGGCCCGGGCGACACGGAGGTCGTTGCCACATGCGATGGCGAGAGCGGCGATGAAGGAGGAGAGCGAGAGCGAGAGCTCGACGACAAGCACCTCTGTTCGTCTTCCTCTCGCGAGTGGTGTGTGGGTGCGATCTTCCGCGTTGTCTCTGTTTTCCTCTATCTTTATTTGTACTCAACGAGCTCATCGGCGAGTAATAAATAACCCAAACGCTCAATCAATCATTGCTGACCACCTCCTTCCTCCATCTAGCACCACCTCCTCCCTCCTTCAATGATCTGGGCCCGCCACTTCTCTGCTTCTTCTCTTCACCTTCACCCTCTCTCTCTCACTCTCCCCTCTTCCGTATGTAACAACACCTCAGCTCCGGCCGGCCGGCGAGCAACTAACCCCTCGCCTTGAGCTTCGGGAATCCGCCGGCGAACAGTCCTCCCGGCCCTCCGCCTCCGCCACCCCCACCGCCCGGCGCAGGCTTGCCTGCTCGCACGCAACAACATCAACGCGCGGTCAGCAGCAGTTGGTACCCCCCCACCCTCTTTTTTTCGCAGCGCAGCACCGATGGATTGACGTACTCTCTACAACTTTGGGCGCGCTGCTGTCCTTCGTCACGGCCTTCTTGAGCTTGACGCCGCCCAACAATGAAGCGATTCCGCCTCCGCCTCCGCCGCCGCCTCCACCGCCGCCGCCGGCAGGAGGTGGGGGAGGGGGCGCCCCCCCACCCGGTGGTGGCGGAGGCGGGGGGCCGCCAGCGGGTGGCGGCGGTGGCGGAGGTCCTCCTCCTCCAGCGGGTGGTGGCGGCGGGGGTGGTCCTCCTCCAGCCTTCGCTGCTGGCGGCGGCGGCGGTCCCCCTCCGCCCGGGGCTGGTGGAGGCGGCGGCGGTCCTCCTCCGGCCTTCATCGCTGGAGCTGGCGGCGGCGGCGGTCCACCACCACCGGGGGCTGGTGGCGGGGGCGGGGGTCCACCGCCGATCTTCGCTGCTGGGGGCGGCGGTGGCGGAGGACCACCACCAGGCGCAGGCGGAGGCGGCGGCCCGCCTCCGGCTTTCATCGCTGGCGC